CAGGCAATGCGGACGGAGTGGGCCGTGCAGTTCGTCCAAATTTGTAACGATTCTCCCTCTGCTTCTGCTTTTGAATCGCGCGGTGCACCTCTTGTTTTATTTTCTGTAAATAAAAACTTTTTTATTATAATGCTGTTTCACTAAGAGTATAGGTTCTTTCACTGACATATTCTATGGAACATTCTGAGACGAAAACTTTTGCTGAAATGTCAACTTATTTAAATTGCAAACTTTCTAAGTACACTAGGTTTTAAATGTTTGTATTTTGTTAATACAATAGAATAAGAATGGCTCAATTAATTTCAATACAGAAACTTTAATAATGTGTGGGCTATTGGAGCCTTACGCCAGTTATTAAATTGTGAATATAAATGTCAATGTAAAGATATTATTTACAAATTATATATCAATTGAAAACTTAATCATATGACGTTTCGACCCTTACTGTGGTCATCTTCAGTGATATTACAAATTTAAAAGTATCTTAACAATATTACAATATATTCAACTCTGTTACTACAATTCTACATTCAATTATAAGAATTGTAATCTTCGTTACCAAGGTGTTCTTTTCAGAATTCCATTAATTCTGTTCTTCCATTACACATTATTCTCCTCATTGTTGTCGCAATTGTGTTATCATATCCCAGATTACGCTCCATTATATGTAACATAGCAGATCCGAGGATTCTTTATTGGATCCACAACCAATACTCTCTTACATCAGTAACCAATTATGTAAGATTGTAATTAATTCCTCTCATCTGCTATATTCTTACATTATGAAATTCTATTATCTTTAGTAATGGGAATAACCTTCTCCGTCAAGATTTTGTACAATAATATATATATATAATCTATTTATATAATAATAATAGTAATAATAATTTATATAATAATCTATTTATTGTACAAAATCTTGACGGAGAAGGTTATTCTCATTGCTAAAGATAACAGAAGAATTTTATAATGTAAGAATATAGCAGATGGAAGGAATTAATTACAATCTTACATAATTGGTTACTGATGTAAGAGAGTATTGGTTGTGGATCCAATAAAGAATCCTCGGATCTGCTGTGTTACATATAATGGAGAGTAATCTGGGATATAATAACACAATTGCGACAATAATGAGGAGAATAATGCGTAATGGAAGAACAGAATTAATGGAATTCTGAAAAGAACACCTTGGTAACGAAGATTACAATTCTGATAATTGAATGTAGAATTGTAGTAACAGAGTCGAATATATTGTAATATTGTTAAGATACTTTTAAATTTGTAATATCACTGAAGATGACCACAGTAAGGGTCGAAACATCATATGATTAAGTTTTAAATTGATATATAATTTGTAAATAATATCTTTACATTGACATTTATATTCACAATTTAATATAACTGGCGTAAGGCTCCAATAGCCCACACATTATTAAAGTTTCTGTATTGAAATTAATTTTGAGCCGTTCTTATTCTATTGTATTAACAAAATACAAACATTTAAAACCTAGTGTACTTAGAAAGTTTGCAATTTAAATAAGTTGACATTTCAGCAAAAGTTTTCGTCTCAGAATGTTCCATAGAATATGTCAGTGAAAGAACCTATACTCTTAGTGAAACAGCATTATAATAAAAAAGTTTTTATTTACAGAAAATAAAACAAGAGGTGCACCGCGCGATTCAAAAGCAGAAGCAGAGGGAGAATCGTTACAAATTTGGACGAACTGCACGGCCCACTCCGTCCGCATTGCCTGCTGCACTCAAGGAACATGCTTCGCCAGCACTTGCCGTGTCTACTGTGCCGACGACTTTGCCATCTTCAACTGTACTGTTTGCGAACGCAATCACTCCAGCAGGATACATATCGCCTGCCACGGCAGGATACTTGCCGATTCCGTCCGCGCCGGTAGGATACGCACCGATATCTTCCGCATCGGCCCAGCAAGCACCAGCAGGATACGCACCGGTATCTTCTGCGCCGGCAGGATACGTACCGATTCCGTTCGGGCCGGCGGGATACGTACCGGCTTCGTCCGGACCGGCGGGGTACATGCCGGTTTACAAATAAATATGTTAGTGTTGCCATGGAATTAAAATTCTAATTTTCCATTTCCTTTTGATAATTGTAGAATGAAGGTGCAATTTCATGTAGCGAAGAAAAGTTGGCTTTTTATGAAGTTAAAAATTTTACAAAGTTTAGTACATTTTTTATTAAATTTTATGTAGATTTGTATATAAAATTTAATGTAAGTAAACGTTAAATTTAAGTTATACAACTTAAATTTAACGTTTACTTACATTACATTTTATACAAATCTACATAAAATTTAATAAAAAATGTACTAAACTTTATAAAATTTTTAACTTCATAAAAAGCCAACTTTCCCTCGCTGTTATACAACTTAAATTTAACGTTTACTTACATTACATTTTATACAAATCTACATAAAATTTAATAAAAAATGTACTAAACTTTGTAAAATTTTTAACTTCGTAAAAAGCCAACTTTCCCTCGCTGTTATACAACTTAAATTTAACGTTTACTTACATTACATTTTATACAAATCTACATAAAATTTAAAAAAAAATGTACTAAACTTTGTAAAATTTTTAACTTCGTAAAAAGCCAACTTTCCCTCGCTGTTATACAACTTAAATTTAACGTTTACTTACATTACATTTTATACAAATCTACATAAAATTTAATAAAAAATGTACTAAACTTTGTAAAATTTTTAACTTCGTAAAAAGCCAGCTTCCTTCGCTGCATGAAATTGCACCTTCATTCTACAATTACCAAAAGGAAATGGAAAATTAGAATTTTAATTCCCTAACATGTATACTATTGCTTATAATTTGTTTCATTCCTAAGTTTATTTTATTCATCTTTTTAAGATTGCGTCGCGCGTGGATGTCGAAGTTCGTAGAATAAAACCAAAAATTACGATTATATATATATATATATAT